GCAGGAATGTGGCTGGAGAACGCATCGTCTCCCTCTCTGGTGTTAAATTGCCGCATTTCAGGAAAAGCTGAAATATTTAAGAAGAAGAAAGGCCCTCTTGCATGGGATTGGAGTTTCTCAGCTCGGGAGCTTGCTGGAGGGACAGAGGGCAGGACCACAGCCCCGGGGATGGGCTCAGCCCCTCAGCTCAGCCTGCCTGGCTTGCCCCGAGAGCTGGTGCGGGGCAGTGGCAGGTTTGCAGTTAAGGAAAAAAAAAATCCTTCTGAGTTTGGGGAAGAAAAATGGATTTGGATGTTTCATTGGACTCCCCAAATGGGATGAACTGCTTTGTTTGAATGGTTTAAAAATCTTTCAGTCTCAGAAGATGGGAGCAGGCGCCCCCAGGACAGTTTGTGCAGGCAGACTGGGAGTGTGTGCTGTTTACCTCTGAGAGGTGGCCCTTTCTTGCAAAAAAAATAATGTCATTTACTAGAAACAATAAGAAAACACTTGTCCCAAGGAAACCCTCGGTCCCTCTGCAAGGTGATGCTGCTGGTGGGTGCTGTGAGGGCCCAGTCGGGGGCTTTGCTGGGCAGGAGGGGTCGTGTGTCATCGGTTGTTCCCCCATGGAGGTGGACAAGTCCATGTTTTTTTCCCTGACCTCATGCAAATGGTCCTGGGCCCTGGGTCTCATTTCCCCTCGTCTGCCGGGGACAGCAGTGACCCCCCTGCAACCTTCGCAAAGGCTCTGAGGCTTGCAGGTGAACTGAGCCGCTCATCCCATTTATATTCATTATTAGTAGCGATCACAGCATGTTGATATGAATATTTCTCTGCCTTTTCCAGACTTAGTATGGATGGGTGCCCCTGGGAAATTTTTAAAAGGGTGTGTTGGCATCTTGGTGTGATATATTCTCGCTCAGGTGTGTGTGGGGCAGGACGTGGGGTGCAGGGATGCTGTCAGGATGCTGCAGCTCGCGGGAGCTCTCCTGCTGTCGGGAGGAGCGCTGCAGGGGAAGGCTCCAGCCTCCTGGCATGTCCGGAGCTGTGAAATCCCAGAGCTGCAAAACCCCGGAGCGGCTGCCCGCACTGTTAGCCAGATCAGCCCGTGCATGTGCATGTCATCGGTGCTGCCATTTAAGCAGTCGCCATTAGCTGTGGTGGCTCGTTCCCATGGAGATGAGTGATGAACAGGGGTCCCTGCATCCGCCGGAGCTGCCTGGCCGAGGCATCGCTGCTGCACCAGGTCACATCCCTGGAGCAATCTGCCTCTCCAAACCCCATCACTGGCTGGGGGCTCCCCAGCAGTGCCGTGCGCATTCTGGCTCTCCTCAGCCAGCGCCAGCCTGGGTGTAACGGAGGGCAGGTGCTTGCTGAGAGCCTGGCAGCCTCCAGTAAAGCTGTTGGGTGGTGCCACTGGTGCTCACTCAGTGTTGGGGCATCTCTGGGTTTTTTCCCATGACCATCATTTTGGGAGATTCGAGATAAAATGTTGTGACTGTCAACCCAGCTGCTGAAGCACTGAAGGCAGCAAAAGCTCTCGACACGTGCTGGCTTCTTGCTGAAGCAATAAATACGTATAATATTGATATATTGCCATGGAGTCGATTTCTAATGGTGTGTAGCAAATAATATATTCAAACTCTAGCATCTATTCGTGCTATGTTGTAACAGATAAATAAATGTTTCCAAGTTCTTTTGAAATGTAATGATGAGAAATGCTGCAAAATCTGGCTTGGGGCCTGCCGAGATGCTTGCTGTTAAACTAGTGTAAATCCAGAACTTGAGTCATCTTCTCCTTTGCTCTAATATAAATTTAATGCAGAATTTCCTCCTCTGGCCTTCCTATTGTGGCTCCTTGTAGGCCCAGCCTAGCATTAAGATGTTCCCATCCCTGCTTGGGCTGCTGGCAGGTTTGCCTGCCTTCATCTGGGTGGAAATGACCCCATTTCAGGGGCCAAATTCAGCTTGTCTTAAACAGAAATAGCTGTGTGGAGGTTAGGAGATTTATGGATAAAGGATAAGCGTAGTTTGGATAACATCAGCTCTTTCCGCAGGTCCGTTTGCCGTATAGGTGTCAGTGATGCATGAAGTGTCCTACGTATAGATAGCTGTGTATTTGTCTCCAAGATCTATACATATGCCTCTTTACAGCTACATGAATGAGAGCAGCCAGACAGCGCTGAACCTGGCAGAATACAAATTAGCCCCTCAGAAGTGGGTGATATAATGGAATAATGATAAACAGAGGAGCCGTAATTACACAGAGGAGTTCCAGCCCCACTGAAGTGGGGAATAACCATGCCAGCGTGGGGGAAATGGGAGGATCAGGTTTTCCTGGCTGCTGGAGGTCCCGGGGGAGCGCATGGGCTGGACCCTAACAGGGTGCTGCACAATTTGAGATGGGGAGGCGTCACCAGGACTTTTCTGGGTTCAGGGGAAAAAAAACGGTTTTAGTGTCAAAGCAGAGTCTTTGGTGCTGCAGGTGCCCTTGGGGCCACGGCTTTATCCCATCCAAAGCCTGTTGTCAGCCGGCGACTCTCAATCACTGTCTGGTGCTCAGGGAGGTTGGCAGGGATGAACTGTTGTGTGTGCAGACGCTTTCATCCATAGGCCTGAGCCCCACATTGATGGCAGGTTTGGGGCCAGGTCCACTCTCTGGATAGCCTATGGCCCAGCACGCAGCCAGGCTGCCAGCACTGCTGCAGCACTGTGGCTTTGCAGGGGGTCCAGAAGTCAGTTTTGTTCCTTTTCTCCATATTTAGGTGAAATTAAGAGCATAATCTGGATTTTGATCTTGGTGACGCAGCTCAGGGAAGGTGGGGATGGTCCCTGCCAGCCTCCCGCTTGGCTACTGCGCCTGTAATTGAGTTCAGCATCTTCCTGGGCAGCTGGACCCCCCAGGCTGGGATTGGCTCAGCAACATGTTTACATTCACTATCCACTGGCTGGAATTAAAGCCCAAACCTTGCATATCAATCCTGTTATTCTCCCGAGCTGTGGCGAATGGTTTGGCCACCCCTCACAATGTCAGGGGAATGTCACTGCCTTGGTGACTGGCTGGAGCTGGTGCAGGGGAGGTGGCATCTCTCCTTGTCATCTGCAAAGATAAAATGAGGAGGCCAGGATGGGTGTTAAATGAGCTTCATACTTTATTTACCAGACACATCATTTTGCTTTAAATATATGGCTTTTCCCACGAGAAATTCTGATCTTTTATCCTCTGAGTTTTGCCGAGAGGAGCCTGGCCAGTGGGACAGCTGCTTGCGTGGGGCCATTGAGAACAGCAGGATGGGACCATGCCCTACCCCTTGTCCCCTCTGGTTCCAGGGTGCTTCGATGCAGGGTGGCATGGGGCACCTCTTCGAACAGTCGTACTTGGCACCGTGTGAGCCCCACCTGGAGCTGCTCACACTTCCAGTCACGTCCGCTGTTGCTTCTGCGGGGCTGAGCTCTGCTCCTGCAGAGCCTCACACGGGCTCTGAGATAGGCACTGTGCTCGGGGAGAGGCCCAAAGTGAGAGGCACTGACTGGCTTATCCAGGGGACTTTGCTCTCTTGCTGGGCAGCTCAGCAGCCGAGTTCGCTCCTGCTCTGCCACACCCATCCCTGCCCCTTCTGTCCCCACAGCTGGGGCCAGGGGAAGGCAGACAGAGCCATCCTGCTCCAGCTCGGGCTTGGCACGTCCCTGCCCATGGATGTGGCAGGCAGGCAGGTCTGTGTCTCTGCCCCTCTTTAGTGGGGCTGTAGCTCTGGGTGCACAAAGGACAGATGCTGCAGCATCCTCATCCTCCCCACCCTGAGCATCTCACAGCCAGCTGCAAACAGCCTTTCCTGGCTGCTGGGCCCATGGCAGGGATGTAGCAGCCCAGAGCCAGCACCTTCTTCCCTGCTTCTTTCCTCCCAGCAGGATGGTGAAGGCAATCTCCCCAGCTCTGTAGTGAGGCCACTCTCTTTCTCACGCTTCCCTGCATGGCCCTGTGCCTCGCCTGCGTCCCTGTCCCCCTGCCTGCAGCCACCCCTCCATCCTGCCTGCACCCGCTCAGCCCTGCCCTGCCTCGCCGGAGGGCTTTTACCCCTGGCGCTGTACTAGGAAGGGAGAGGAGGGCTGGGAAGGTGAGGGAGTGCTTTCCAGCACCAGCAGTGGGGAATTTGCAGTCTCTCCACCATAATTAAATATTGTTTGCGTTGCTTATTGACAGAGCGCTAAGCTGCGCTCCGTTTTAATTTGTTCTTTGATAGTTGCCTTTCGCTGCTAATTGATTTTCAAGGTGGTGTGTATTTTTTTTGGTTTGGGACGCTTTTTTGTCTGACTTAATACCTGCTATGTTACCAAAACCAAAGAGGTAAGGGTAACTGGCATTCACCCTCATGCCCACCTGCTCCCTTGCACCAGAAGCGCTGGCACGAGCTCCAGGCCAAATCCAGGCTGAGAGCTGGTGTTGCCAGTCTCCACAGCGGGTGTTTGGTGATGGGCTTTGGGCAGTGCTGTTCCCGGTGTGGATCCTGAGCTGGTGTGCATCTAGTGGCTGCTCTGCACCTCTGGGTGACCCCGTGTGTTCTGCTTCTTCCCTAGGATGATCCCGATGGAGAAGAGATCGAGAGGGAGAAGTCCAATTCCTTGAAGCTGGAGTTCACCGACGATGCCAACTTCAAGACCAAGGTTAACTACTCATATGCTGCTGTGCAGATCCCCACGGACATCTACAAAGGCTGTGAGTGCCCCTCCTCACCCGCTCTGCTCTGCTTTGTGCTGCCAGGCCAGGCTCAGACACCACCTCTCAAACTCAGGGTGCCACAGACCTGGGGACCATCACCCCAGGGTGCCCCGGCTGGGTCTCAGTGCCAGGACGGGCTGATTCCCAGCAGGGCAGGCGCAGAGAGGAGGCAGAGTCACCATGTCAGGACAGAGGTGACAACCTCTACTTCCCAGGGACCCTCAAGAGCTCTGCATGGGCCAGAGAGGTAAATCGGAGGCTGTGAAGGAAAGGAGAAATTATAATTATGGCACAGAGTAAAGGTTAGTTGTGCCCACATGGCTTTGATCCTTCCTGTAGAAGAGCTCAGCAAAGCTCAAGGAGGTCCAAAGCAGGTGCTTTAGATGATCAGAGGGATGGAGCAGCTCTGTGCAGCAGCAGTTACAGAGGCGGCAACTCCATGCTCATAGAAGGGAACGAGACAGGGCTCAGCAGTGGGAGAGGGTGAAATAGGGATGCTTCCTCACTGGATTTGGGCTGCTTAGGGCTGAGGTTGTGAAAAGAAGGAAAAAGCAGCTGAAATCCTGCAGCATGGCAGCCGAGGGTGATTGCAGGACAGTGCAATGGGCAGCCCCCACTTGCTGCCGGGAGCATGCGGGGGTGCGAGCCCCATGGCCGTGCCCCTGCAGCTGCCAGCAGGTGTGGGCTGCTCCGGAGAGGGAGATCAGGTCGGTGGGCCAGCCCGGGAGCAGGCAAGGTGAGATGGACAGATGGATGGATGGATGGATGGACAGATGGACAGATGGATGGGGTTGGATGTGCCACACCAGCTTACAGTCCCTGCTGGGAGGTGACATAGTCCCTGAGCTTCAGAGGGCTCTCCTCCCTCGCCCTGCTGCGGTGGCACATGGTGACAGTTGGTCTCCATTTCCCTCTAGTGGCTGGCCGGGCCCCAGCAGACGACACG